ACAGATTACTTCACCAACAGCCCAACATCACGGCCCAGGAGATCGAGGACAACTTTGACGGGAACATGTGTCGGTGCACGGGCTACAGGCCTATACTGGACGCCATGAAGTCTTTTGCTCACGGGTCGGGTATTCCTGGTGCCAAGGCCATCGACATTGAGGTCAGTTGTTTGTTTGTACATCGACATTGAGGTCAGTGGTTTGTCTGTACATCGACATTGAGGTCAGTTATTTGTCTGTACATCGACATTGAGGTCAGTTATTTGTCTGTACATCGACATTGAGGTCAGTTATTTGTCTGTACGTCGACATTGAGGTCAGTGGTTTGTCTGTAGGCCCCTATATATAACTGTTGGCGCCAAGGCCATTGACATTGAGGTCAGTTATTTCTCCATATATATATATAACTGTTGGACGTTTCTGTTTTGTCTTTTGTTGTTGTTTCTCGGTTGTTGTTTTTTTTAAAGAGATCAATATAAATTACAGAAACAGTCAAAATGGATATCAAGGATCTACAACATTACCTGTGTGTGCATACATGTAGTACCAGTAGTAAATGTAGTTTAAACTTCTGACTAAAGCGTGATATAGAGCTTTGCTGTGGAGCGGGGTGATGGGCTGTACAAATGCTAGTTTTTATATTACTATTGTTGTTATTGTTTTTGTTATTCTTCTTCTTCTTCTTCTTCTTCTTCTTCTTCTTCTTCTTCTTCTTCTTCTTTTTATTATTATTATTATTAGGCCTATTATTATTATTATTATTGTTGTTGTTGTTGTTATTATTATCATCATTGTTGTTATTGTTGTTGTTGTTGTTGTTGTTGTTGTTGTTGTTACCCCTCATTTACTAAACAGAACATTACGAATGTTTAGTCTTCTCCATTCCTCCATTCTGTCAAACAAAGATCAAGATTTCCCCCAGTCTCTCAACTCTCACCACTTCCTGTGTGAGTAGTCTCGCTGTGACGTCACTGTCTGTGGAGGGAAGATGGGTTATGTTGGCGAGTCAAAGAGCGGGACATCAGTGGCCAAGTTTTTGTGTGGTGAATGGAGCCACGGTCTTGCTAGTTCTTGCTATGTTCTTCTTCCTCTGGGTCTGGATTTTAAGGAGCATTGTATATTGTTCCTTGTCTCAATTGTGTGTGGGGGTTTTTGGAGAAAGAAAGAACCCTGGTTCCATGTTTGGTATGTGACATTTCATTTTTTAAATATTCTTTTTCTTTAGTAGAGAAAAAAGATGGGGAGGACTTTCGTAACGAGCGACCACTGTGAGACAGAGTAGAACAGAGGGATAGGGGTAGGGTTAGGGTTTGGGATAGGTCTCTTCTTTATTGTGTTTGTTGGGGTGGTCGGTCGTTACGGAAGTCCTTTCAAAAGATGGGGGCCGTGGGTCGTTGTGTGTTTTGTAATCATAATATTTAGACTCTATATGTTGTTTGTTCGTGGCAGGATCTGAACAAAAAGCTGTGCCCGAGGACTGGAGAGGTGTGCAAGGGAGAGCAGGAGGGGAGAGGTGGGACCAAGAGTCTGGAGGTGGAGGTCAATGGAACCCGTTGGTACAGGTGAGGGGGGGGGTCTTGTTTGTGTGATGTTTACTGGCTAGCATGTGCTATGGAGAGAGAGAGAGAGAGAGAGAGAGAGAGAGAGAGAGAGAGAGAGAGAGAGAGAGAGAGAGAGAGAGAGAGAGAGGGGGGGGGGTAAGCAGATGGACAGAAAGATGGACAGGCAGGTAGACAGAAAAACAAACACACCCGCAGGCTCTGCCTACACACACTATCTCTCTTTCCCTGTCTCCCCCTCCCCCCCTCTCTCTCTCTCTCACTCTCCCCCCTCCCTCTCTCTCTCTCTCTCTCTCTCTCTCTCTGTCTCTCTCTCTCTCTCTCTTGGCCTTTCTCTCTCTCTCACACACACACACATACAAGTATGCACATGCACCCAAAAGCTCACATATTCACACACACACACACACACACACACACACACACACACACACACACACACACACACACACATGTAAAGTAGGAATGTTTCTTTGTGCTTTCATCAACTTCTATCTTAGAAATAAAACGCTTCTTATGAGCTGCCCAGTTAAAATCTTCCCTTCAAAGTAGATTACACAGGCTGTGGTGTTTCTTTGATTCAACACCATCTCTCTGTATCTCTGTCTCTCTGTCTCTGTGTGTGTCTATCTCTCTCTCTCTCTCTTTCCCTTGCTTTCTCTCTCCCCCTATCTCTCTTTCTGTCTATCCCCCTCTTCCTTAACTCTCTCTCTCTTTCCATGTGTATGTACCTGGTTAGTTATATTATTTAATTAATTGTTTGAGTGCTTGTCTGTGTGTAAGCATGTATGAAATGTGTGTGTATGTGTGTGTGCATGTATGTGTGTGTGTGTGTGTGTGTATGTGCGTGAGGATCTGTTTGTGTGTGTGTGTGTGTGTGTGTGTGTGTGTGTGTGTGTGTGTGTGTGTCTGTAAGTGTGTGTGTATGTATTGTATGTATGTGAGTATGTGTGCATGTGTATGTGTATGTGTGTGTGTATATGTGCACATGTGTGTTTGCATGCATGTGTGTAGGCCTGTACATACATATTCTTGTAGTGGTATACAAAAATATCCAACAATAACATCAGTAAGTTCTGGACCAGACCCTGAAGTAAGTGCTGCTTTTTTTGTTTGTTTTTTTTCCCCTGTAGACCAACGTCTCTGGAGGAACTTGGGACTATTCTCCGGGCTCAGAAAGACAAAAAAGTGAAACTGATTTTTGGCAACACCGCAGCAGGTAGGTGTACTCTCACATCTTTGATAGGCCAATCAACAACCAGGGATGTTTTCTTGCATCTTTTCACTATCATTTCCTATTTCCCTTGCTATAGTTTTTTTTTTGTTTCACCTCACAAATTATATAATTGAAATTTGTCTTTTCAGTGGGCTTT